TTGCGATTTGTCCTGTGCGATTCGGATTTTGGTTTATGAAATTCATTTGATGCCTCAATTCCAAAAATCTGATTTGAAGCGAAACTTTAATTGCACAATCGACGCGTGCCTACTCGATTGGATTCGCCAAAATACGAGTCGTACACGGCGGATCGCGGTGTGTAAACGTACCTTAAGTAAACTAAGTATAATTACATAGGTGATTATTGAAAATTTTCCAAGCTGATTGGTTGCCGTTGAGGTGATTATAACGCGATAATCACCTAAGTTTTGACTATTAAATGATGAAGAAATGTGTATTTTTATTTTTTTTCCCAAACAATCACCTATGAAATTATACTAAAACGATTATTCGCCTCAGGCTTGGTGGTTATTGTTAAATGAATAACTTCGACTTTTGTCTCTGTCACTACTCACCGATAATCACCTGGCCTTCGGCAATAAATTGTTAATTATTTCTGTTTTCTATATTTATATTGATATTTTGTAAAGGGCCCACTGTAATTGGTGTTAAGCTGTTGTGGTGTCCCAGCTTCTTTAATGCAATTGTTGTATAATGTTTGGAAGCGAAGCACAATAAATAAATAAATAAATAAATTTGGCTAATGCTGACGCCACTACACATCTTAATTAACGCGTGCGTAGGGGGGCTGAAGCTGACGTCTAAACTGGCTGTGATGGCGTGCAAGGAGCCTGAAACTGACGTCCTGATGTCCAAACTTTACATTGGCCATCATACGCAACTGCTGACGCGAGGCTTCTGGTAACTATAACATTTCTTGCAGTCTGATTAGTCGACGCAGCCCGAATCTGAAGTGATAGTACTGGCTAGCCAGTAACTACAACACTTTTTTTCAAAATGGTGGTTACCATATAGCTATCATGTACAGCGATATCGGGAAATTTGGGTACGATAGCATGCAACAAAGAACAAAAAAGACAAAATTTATATGAAAAGTACCTCACTAAGAACCTTTAAGGTAAAGTTTTTAAGTTGTAACATGTTTGTATTTTGCTTTGTGGCTTGTAAAGTTCATGTTTACGCCATAATGTAAACAACGGTGTAAAGTTGAAATAAATAAAGTCATAATATTCACAACCGACAACAGACTCAGGTATTTTTAGACTCCGCATGCGGAGTAATAAATGAGCAATGGCCCCAAAAGGACGGCTAAATTATGTTTTTGTTAGGACTTCAATTTCATGGCTTCCCGCAAAGGAAGCCATTTCAGAGAGAAGCGACAACAACGGCAAACAACCGTCACGACCTATTTTGATAACTTATCCTTCTGATTCAACATGTAGTTACTACAAAATGAGGTTTGATCAACATTACTATCTGCCTTATCGATTTAAAGTTTTATGGGGATATAAAACCCAATACAAAAAGCATTTTAAAAGCTTTAGAACTCAAGTGCGGACTTTTTGAGAATTCGCACACGGCAAGCCAGCGCATTAATTCAATACACTTATTTCAAACCACAATATGTCTGAAACGAGTTGTCATTTTAAGACTAAATTGATGAAAATAGATATAACAGTGATTTTGGAATATCCTACTTATTTAGTGTAATTTAATACTCGAAGTATTCTTGCCAAATAGGGCACGTACGCAGACAGTAATTTAATCTGGTGTCGTTTGAAACATACTTTAGCTAAAATAACAACTTGAACAAGAAGACCACCAATGGGGTCACGAAAACAGTCGACATTGTGCCCAAATTTGCATAAACAGTTCATCTAAAAAGGATAACTTTAAACTAGATTCAACCAACATTAATGCAGCCGAATTTTGTGAGTGTTTGATCGCATATTTCTACTCAAAAATACCCTTTAAAAAATCGTATCTGCTCACTTGTGTTCTGTATTCATCTTTCTTGTGATTTCCGACTTCTATTTTTAATAAAGTTTGGGGAAATCCTCATCTTTTTGGCTGAAAATCTCGCGCATGGTTCACAGAAGAACTTGGTCCCAAAACGTCAATACATTCGCTTTCCTTTCATGCCAAATTTTCGTTGTAGATGATTCAAAAATTGCTTTTAAAACTTGCTGTAAAATCCTTCTTTGCAACAGTATCGCCATTATTCATTATTTTTGAAAAAATAAGGTTTTAAACTTGAAAAATGTTGCGAGTTTCTGACCGATTTTCTTGCATGATACACCATTGAAAAGCTCGAATTTCACGTTCTATTTTCGTATCCGTTGCTAGGTAACCCGATAAACACGTGCTCAAATATCATGCCCGCAAGTTAAGCTGTCATGTCAGGGCGCATTCGGGCGCATTGTCCGTTACCCACTTGTCAATCTCAGGGTGCATACTGGCGCATTGGGCGTTAATGAGTTAATAATCAATATATTTAGTATAAAATAATGTTTTGTCCACACGTGGGACGCGCGAGTCAGAACTGTAATGAATCGGAAAGTTACAGAATACACTGGTTGTTGCTATTGTATAGTGGGAGGTTTTTTAGTGAGAGATTTTGCGAAATTAGGATAGTTAGTAGCGTCGAAATTATCTCGGGGAAAATTCTCAATATGATTTCACACAAACAATCACAAAATCCGCTTACTTCTAGATATCGTATTACAACACAGCATAACACCCGACCATGCAATCTCAAAATCTCCAGATACTGTCGCTACTAATACATCAATTAAATATTGCCCGATACAAATATAAACGAACACAAAAGCGGTTTATACTTTATAGCTTTAACTATGGTTATGCACAGTTAATTTAAGCAGCCAAACCGCTTTTATATCTTATTAATGCCGTCAATAAGCACACTTTAAGCAGGTTTTAAAGCTTACTTAGTACCAGACTATAAACTAAAATATAAATATAATCTCCTAACCTTATCGCTGTACATTTCTATTGTGGTGGACAAGCACCGAATTGAAATCTCTAGCGAGACTGCTTCTGGTGATATAGTTGTGGATAGACTTGGTATGAATAGCGGCTAAAGCTCTTCAATATATCGATCTTGTATTGAAGTATTGATATGCTTTAAAAGATCTGTGTTCACCATTTCTAGACTGGACAGTCTCGTATAAACTTTATATTGCGGGAACCACTGAGTATTTTTACACATACATTTTATATTGTCGTCGTACTCTTGCGTCAATTTAATCTTCGTGGTGAATAAACTTTCCGAATGAGTCAAATGAGGCAAAAAATATGAGCCAATGACAGAAGAGAATTTGGTCTTTTTCGACCAATCAGAACTTCAAGTATTGCACAAATAAGGCAGACCCCCACGAAGATGAGGCAAAAAAGTTGAACCAATGAGAGAGGATAATTCTCCTTCAATCAGCCAATCAGATACCTCATAGATGACGTAAATAAGGCAGACCCCCACGAAGATAAGGCAAAACCATTCTCGACCAATCAAATGGCTAGAATCTGCCTCAAGTAAGTCAAGGCCGCTGAGCTTACAACCACTGAATGAAACTTGATAACTGGACTATTGTGAATATTAATTACATTTGCTATCACTGCAGGAAGGATTACAACTGGAGTACTGGACAATTTTATGAATGAGTAATTATCTGCGCAATTTTTACGTTAGTCGCGAGACTTATTTGACAACCCCTAGATCCGCCCCTGCATCAACTGGACCTTTGCCATGTGAAGTAGCAAAATAATTCCAGATGATGTTAATTTTGTGTTTCTCTTGAAGCGACGAAATGGCTGAAACAAGAAACCGGTTCTTAAATTGCGAGGAAGGACCATCAGACCATATGGAAATGGGATTTCACAGTTGCAGGAAGAGCGTCGAGGAGGTGATCAATGTAGGACACAACCGTCTCTTTCCCATGATTCAAGTCATCAGATGCAATGACTGTCGGGTGGAGCTTACCATCAAAACAAAGGGCTGCAATGAACAGGCTGACTTGATCCTGTTTCCAGTGAGCACTTTGTATTTCGTCTTGAAACATGCATGTGTAGTTTTCTGAGAAGTCAACCTAACAGCCTCGCTCTACTGCACCCTGTCTAATTTCTTCTTCAGAGAACAGGCATTGGCATACAAATTTGGCTTCTTGAATTTTGCATTTATATCCAGCAAAAGTTTCACCCCTCCCCACCCCCAACTATCTAAAAGTTTGAAGATTACTTGCCATTCATCAAGTTATTCTCAAAAGCTTAAAATAACAATACCAGTGGCAGTGACTACAAATTTAAAGTTATTTTACCAGTGTTGATCCATTACAGGAATTTCCCAGTCTGACCTTCTTCTCTGGTGGTGTGAAAACTGGGAATGGTCTTTTCAACCTCATCTCATTAACAGTAGTGATCTCTTTCATTCCTGTCAAACTCAACACACCATCATCACCACTGGGCAATGTCTGGAAGAATATTGCAATGGTCCACTGTTTTAAAATGACATTTTACCAGTAATAAATAGTAGCAAAGGTAGCGAGTATTTTCCAATTTAAATGCACAAAATATTTTCGCGACCACCTAACCTAATGCGTCTCTTTGGGGACGTAGTGTTTCAATTCTTTATCAGAACCATCCTCAGAGATATGGATCTTCATCAATCCCTGTTTGGTTCTTTGATAGCTCAATGGGTAGAGTGGTGGTCTAGAAACCCGAAGATGGGAGTTCAGATCCCACTCAAGACAACAAATTTTTCATTGTTCTTGGCAGTATCAGAATAATATGAAATTAGTTTTTCATATCTCTGCTGTGGATATTCTGAAATATAATTGAAACATTGCGTGTCCTCAAAGACAAGTGTTAAGTTTTTCACGAAAATATTTCTTACACCTAAATTGGATAATACACGTACAAATCCCCATTGGCTTGATAACTCAAATGTGTAGAGCGGCTAGAACGGAAGTTAAAATTCCATTCAAGGCAACAAATTTTTCGTTGTTCTCTCCAGTGTCAGATAAAATCGAAATTAAATCCACAAGTAGTTCACATGTATCAAAAGAAGAAAGTCGCACTTAAAATTAGTCATTGTCTATACCTTTTGGCTTTTGTTGTGACACCTTCAAAAGGCTGCTAACCCTTTCTGCTTCCTTAGTTCTGCTAAAATATCTGAAAATACATGAGAAAAATTGCATGCATAACATGAGCCAATCATGATCATGGTATGCAAAATATGCTAGCCATATACATTTATATTAAAGCCTCATACCCACTATATGCTATAACAAGTTCACCAAGCACCCTGCGCGCATAGCGCAACTGCTTTTATAGCGCCCAGATACGAGGCTGTTTATATTGCACTTCACAGATACTATGTCGGCATCACATACCCCAAAAGACCTCTATTCTATAGTGTTTAAAAGCGGGTTTATACCATGCCTCTATAGCCAATACAACAAAACAATGCTCCTATACACACCGTATCTATACAATGAAAGTCATTTCTGCATACCATTTGTTGTTGATTTTACAATGCCTTCCTCCTCTTCCTCATCACTTGTCTCCAAGTGGGTTTTCGCATGTATGTGTGTTGTAGTGGATGCAGCTTTCTGCTTGCCTGATGCTGAAACGAAAACCACTTTTGGTATATTAACATTATTTTTATACAGAGAGATAACATTTTAAATTATTTTAATACCTTTCTTTGATGATAAATTATTTTTCTCTTGTTTGTTGACATTCTTGTCTTTGTTGTCAATCTCACTGCCCTTTAAAACATCTCCATCATCATCAAAGTCACCACCCAAAACTTTTTCTAAAGCTGCATCCGGTTTTGCTTGTCTCACAGTGCATTGCTCTCTATCTCCTGTAGTATAAGATGGTACGACAATTTTAAATTACTATACATTCATAATAGAGGCTTACTTTTGCAGGACATTCTGACTACTTTAATGAACCACAGGATGATTTTTTATAAAAAAAATCCCTGCAATAAATAAATCTCTGGTTTTTGGGATTTTTTGACAATTTTTCAGGGAATTGAGGATTTTTTGCTGTCATTTTTTGAGGTTTTGAAAGGATTTTTTAGCATATTTTCGAGTGATTTCCTGAGATTTATTCGGAGTTTAGAAACTTTTTATTTGTTAAGAATTTAAGTGGATTTTCACAAAGTGTACGAGGATTTTTTGAGTACACATCTCAGCATGCTATATAGATTAGGCAAGCTTATGTATTCAAGTCGGAAAGATGATTTGTCTGACTTGCTTTACCCATGCAAAAATACCGGGTGATATATGGAAAGATTGCAGGTTTGCTCATTTGCTGATAAAATGGCTAGAACTGAGCAGCATTTGCTACTTTCCTTTAAGTACTTACCCACAAAGACAACTTTTCATTGAAACGTATCACCTTTGCTATCTCTCACAGTAACATTGTCCCTTATAACATCTTCAAGATTTATTTGCTCCTTTTCAATTTGCAATTATATATACACAAAATAATTATTTATATTTGTTAGCATTGTTATTATTGGTAAAATATAATTTGTGTTCTGTGACAAATTGTTTTCTAATTGTTGAGGAGATTTGAAAGGGAGCTGGCTCCCTGAAATAACCACAGGGCTATATAAATATCAGGGAACCAAAAAAAGGACGAAAAAATTATGAAAATTGGCAATATAGTTCTATATCAAATAAATTTTAAAAGATTGCGAGAAAGGAGTCCTCTTAGAGATGCATGACTCCCGATAACATATAGAAAAACTTGTAAACTGAATCAATACTTTGCAAGAAAATCGATTCTAACTTTATATTTAATTTGAGAAATCTGCTACATTGGTCCAAGCTCTCTCTGGGAGTGGGGAGGGTTTCAGTGTTTGAGATATGCAGCTTGATTTCTTTTCCTTTAACCTGGCCAATGCCGTCAAACAGATGGGGGAAGGGCATGGAGGATGATTTGACCAGACATGGTGGACTTAACGTTAAGGGTTAATAAGTTGAGTTGTTGGGCGGTAGTGCAACTGAGAAGACTACCACTGTTGACTTTTGTGACATGGAACATAGCATTAGCAGTTCTGGACTTATAACGAACAGAGGTGGACCAACTTCCAAGTAAAGGTAAAGGAGTGGTGGAGCCATAGGAGTATATTTTGGTGGTGGGAGGGTTTAACATGGCGGCGAGTCACATGTTATGGGTGATGGAATTGTAGGTCGCTTCATCAAGCAGGTTTGCAGAAGCACCAGAATCAACAAGTACAAAGATAGGCTGGCCACCAATGTTAACAATGCAAGATGGAGAGGGATGGAGGGGCACACTGGATGGCGAGGAGGTGTTGAGGACCTGCTGCTCGGAGTGGATAACAAAAGTATAGGCAGGGTCTTGCTCAGGATCATCAGCTATTTGTTGGACAAAACGAGGGTGCTGCTGGGGTCTGGAGCGACAAACTTTGGCAAAATGTCCATTTTTGCCTCAAGAATGACATGTTTTCCCATTGGCAGGGCAGGAAATAGCACGAGGAAACGGTCCGCTGCAATTTCGACAGAGGGAATGAGTGTGTGGTCGCTGATTGTTGGGAGTGTGGGGCAGAGCAATCTGGTCTGGGTGGACAGGATATGGTTTGCTATGTGAGGGAAGGGCATTGCTGCTTTGATCAGTACTGGTAGGTTGAATGTCTCTGGCTTGTCAGTTATCTCAGCTACATGACCGGCTTTGAGAAGGGTTGTAAGACTGAGGTCCTCGCGAAGAGCAGTAGAGTTACAGCTGAAGACAATTTGTGTGAGTTACAGCTGAAGACAATTTGTGTGTGACTATCATATTTTTAATATTCAACGCTGAAGCCGAATTCAATTCAACTGGAAAGTATTAAAAAATATGTTTATTTTTCAGTACACACAGTTTACATGCATAAAACTCAAACCTGTTTTGCGATTTAAAAGTAAAAGCCCCTGAAGGTGTAGATAGTCGTATTTATTTATATTTAAAGTACCTGTAACCCCAAAATTGATTTTCAGTTTAATTAAGTAAAAGTATGGTACGAGTGTAGTAGTTTCGTGACAATCTTTTGCTTTTGAGTAAAACACCAAAATTTTAGGGCCACTTGAACTCGTTGATATTGGGATTTTACTTGACACATGGCCTTCAGAATATTGAAGTCTGGAATGAGCATTATTTGTGACGTTATGCCATTTAGTTGTTGTTTCAGTAGGAGAGTATTTTTATGATGATGATATTTAATCAGGGTGCCCATATCTCCAAAGACTTTTCAATGAGGCCCTGCTCAAAACACATTAACAATAGAATATATAAATAGATATCATACAATATAAAATCGCAAAAATTTACCTATAAAATATGCTAAAAATTAGTGTTCTACATTGCAAAAGTCAATGTAGCTACATAGGTAGCTACTTAAAATGTAATTTAAAAGTACTTAAAAAGTTAGTATCCTTAACAGCAGATGGTAGAGTGTTAAAGTCATTAAGGGATAAATAACTAAAAGTTTGTTTGCCCCAATTAGTTTTTACTCTCTGAAGGAGATAATCGTTTTTTCTTTTTGTATTGTACTGATGAACGTCACTATTTAGTACAAAGTCAAAGTGATAATCAAATTGATAATCAATTTGATCATTCTTTATCTTGTGTACTAACAGACAGTGATGGTAGAATCTTCTTTCACCAAGCAGCTTAAATTCCAAAGTAGTTAAGGCCTCAGTTGACAAAGCATACATTGGAAAATCAAGTATAGTCTTGGCTGCTTTATTCTGGACTATTTGTAGCATGTTCATTAAAAAACATGATTTTATCTTTATCACCCCAGACAATATCCGCATAGTCCAAAATAGGTAATATAAGAGTGTTGTATAGGGTGATCCTAGCATGGCGTGGTAATAGATGCTTGACATGTCGCAAAAGGCTAATACGTTGGTTTGCTCTTGACACCAGAGATTCAATATGATCACTCCAAGTCATATTTTGTTTGATTGTAATTCCAAGATATTTAAATGTATCTACCCATTCCAACATTGTCCCATTAATACCGATGGAGACACCAGAGCATGATTTAAGTCATTGATAGCCACCAATTAGCATGAATTTGGATTTCTTCTCATTCAAAGTTAAGAGATTGTCCGTGAACCACTTTTGAACATTTATCAAATCCTTGTTAAGTTTTTTAACAATTTTTCAATATTGTTGACAGACTTTGAAGAAAAATAGATGAAAGTATCCTCATACATAGAGATATCACAATAGGGTAAATTGTTCACATAGATAATGAACAAAAGCAGCCCAAGAACACTTCCTTGTGGGACCCCTACATTCACAGGCTTAACAGAGGACTGCTTACCATCAACAACAGTGACTTGGCAGTTGGCTCTGTGTATAAGATAAGATTTGAACCATTCACAAACATGACAGGAAAAACCTATCGACTTCAATTTCAGCAGTAAATGACTGTAGTTCACTGTGTCAAAAGCTTTTGACAAATCCAAAAAAGCCACACCCGTTAATTGACCATCATCCATGTTTTTTAAAATAGTATCCGTAAATTTTGCAAGAGCAACAGCGGTGGATAACTTTTCGCAAAAACCAAATTGGTTTGGTGTGAGCAGCTTATTTGTGATCAGGATGCCATAAACTTGAGTGTGTACTGCCTTCTCAAGGATCTTACTGAGTGTAGGCAGCACAGTAATTGGACGATAATGCACTCTACCCATTTTCCAAATATTCGAAAATACTGCTGAGTGAAGTGAGCGATTGTATAGGCAGGTCAGAGGTTTACAAATTACAACAGATACATCTTTGATTAATCTTGCACTGATGTTATTTAAACCAATAGCGTTGTTAAGGCTCTTAAGTTGATTGAGAACAAAGTTTTCGGAATAGGCTGGAAAACAAAGTGAAACTCAGGTTGTTGAACAACCATTGGAGGAGATTGAGTAGCAGTTTGCATAAATTTGGCGGTAGAATCTAACCTATTGAGGTAAAAAACAAATTCAAAGTTTCCTGTATCAATTAATTGCCTTTGAATGATGAAAATCCCGATCATGTATTGCATGCTTTAAATCAGACGTAACCCATGGTGCTGCCAACATTATAAGCAGCAAAGCCTTTGTTGTTGCATTGTTGCATTGAAAAGATAAACGCCTGCCCGTAGTTTCTAAGATAATGATACTTGAGTTGTAGCTGAATATGTTCGACTCAAACCAGCGATTTCCCCACGAATTACACAAGAATTTTATGGTCAGTGGTAACCAACATTAGAAATAATTTGTAGTATGTCATGCAAGGATGCATATAATGGCTTGTACAAGAAGTCTTATGTTTTACTTGTAATAATTGTATTGCATTTAATATTAATATATGATTCTCGGGAATATGCTAATTTTCAATTTAATTCCCTGTTGTCAAACGCTCATATATAACTAATGCAGGATCAACTGTAAAGTTACCATATGCGTATGTCTTTTTTAATTTTTAATGACACACATCACGCCGTCTATCGCAATAAAAGTGTCACAATTCAAATGTCACCAATTCAAAACCATTGTATGAAACCAATGAACCTTTCGTTATAAATTCCACAAGCCAATCTAAACATATATGATGAACACCTGCTGGTTCAGGTTCAAACGACTTGTTTTCGTATCGTGCTCCCCTTGCATACACAACATGTGTTGTTGTATTGCGTTGAATATCACTAAAAACATCACCAAGCTCAGTTATCTTCCTTTTCAAAATTTGTACTTGAATACAAATTTGTTTCTTAGGGACAAAGTAAAACTCAAAGCCGTCAATAATCTTTTCCATTTTTCCGGCAGGCAGATTGTTACTGTAAAAAGTATGGTAACAAGGTTGATGCCTTGATGGGTCTCAAACTATTAATGAATTATTGCATGCAATTGCACATTTGGCGTTATATCTTATATTAGGAATATTTTGCCAAAGCAAGTGCGATTTATCATTAATATTTCGAAAACAGGTCCCACTGTATTTTCTTTTCCATACCATGTCACATAATCTGATATGTAATGTATTCTTAACTGTAGGTGTAGCACATGCAAACCCAGTGGCACTACCTAAAGCATCCTTCTGCCACCCAGCCGGTCTTGATGTCATGGTTCTACCAAGTCTCAAGAAAGAGATGTGTTTTGTTGTGGATACAGGTGATCATGCCATCCGGTATATTGAAGGAGTACAATCCATTCACAGCCCAAAATTTGTGGGAACTTTGAAGGTTCATTCTGCCCCTGAAAAATGGAGACTAGAAGGTTTTGCTGTCATTAGCACCAGACCAGGACTTTGGCAATAACAGCAGGCAGAACATTGGCAATAATCAATCTTGACTCTATCAGCTTGTTCTAATTATTGATGACATGCAATCTCCCCAGGGTCTTTGTAGAAATCCAACAAGATCGGATTCTATTATTGTTGCTGATGGAAATGTGGTAAAGGAAAAAAATACTGGTTCAAAAGAAACATTTGTTATTGCCCAAGGATTTAAAATAGCATTTGATGTAGAAACAGCAGCAAATGGTAAGATTGCTGTGACTGATGTTGGTAGCCACAAAGTTTCTCTCTTGAAGTGGAATTATGAAAAAGATGTATGGGAGGAGTCAACATCTATAGGAAGTGGAGATGCAGGATGCAGAGATGGCAACGCTACAACTGCTGACCTCCACGAGCCAACCGGTATTGCATTTTACATGAATGCTGCTCTAGTTTGCTGCATTGGAGGAAGGAATCATGGATGCATCAAGCTATATTCGGACCTTCGGTTTGCAGCAGAATTCATGTCAAATGTTCTTAATATCTATGATGCCATTGGATTTTTACCGAAGAAAGAGCAGAACAAGAGAAGAAAATTGCATGCTACACCTGCACAGGTTATTATTGAAAAGTCGACTAGCAGCCTAATGCAGAGCATAATGAACAAAAGAAAAGCTCACCTCAACAGAACAGGTTTGGATGGAACAGATGGCTCTATCTACTCAAAAACACTGGAAGGCTTTGCACAAACCATTACTTCATTGAAAAGCCATTCCCTTGCATTTGAAGAACTAGGTATCAATATAGCAAAGTTGAACATGTATGCTTTTGCTAATGAGTCACAAAAGGAGCATGGCTTTGCTAAACATAAGCAAAGTGGGCAATATAGGCATCCAACTATGCAGCAATACAGTCGGACAAAAGGCGTTGAGGAGGAAGAAATGATAAAAAAAGATTTGTGAATGCCCGCACTCATACCACACAAACACCTTCCAGGCATACCAAGCAAGTCACAAGACTTCACTTTCCTTGAATTTCTGTCATTAAAGAATATAGGGAGATAAAAAAGATCCTTCAACCAAAGGAACTGCTCCTGACAGAAGAAGAAAAGGCTCAAGGAAGATTTGAAGAAAGCAAGGACCATGAACATCCTCACAAAAGCAATACCAACACAGAATGTCAGAGATCTATACAGAGCAAAGTGTGGTTTAGCACCCTGTGTAGTTGATCAATTAGATGCCACACTGTTTCAAGAATGTGATAGCAATGAAAGATACTTTCCAAGTTTCCAACAGTTGATGAACGAGCTAAACAAAAGCAGCCACAATAGAGGAAATACAAAATCCAGAAATTGGCAGAAATGGAGAATACATTCCTGGGGACATTGTAGCTGTTAACCCTGGAGTAGAAGATGGCATTCAAAGTGGGGACAAGTGGTGGCTACTTCAAGTTAACAAGGCTCTTCCATCTGCTAAAACAGCTAGTGGTTGCCATGTTTCAGGATTTTGGCTCGAAACATTGCCCAGATCACAACAACCAGAAGAAGGCTGTGCATTCAAGTTGCAAAGGAAATGCCAAAACATACTATGGAAGCCTAATCAAGACCTGTGGCAAGCCTAAAAGTAATACCAGTCAAGCAGCTCAATGCTGGATGGCAGAATGGTGCTGCTACGTACAAACTTTTAGAAGATTTTGTTTGTGGCCTAGATCAGACATCAGATGAACACAGGGCTGCATATTTGCAAGGCTTGCAACTGGATAACAGTGATGATAACAGTGAAAATGAAAGTGAAGAGGATGAAATAACATCTGAACTTTCCCATCATGTTCAAGAGGAAGTGTTATGTTCAACCAGAAAGAGAATTGTACGGAATGGAGCAGGACAAGCATATAAGATCATATGCTGAACTTAATGGACAAAGACAAAATAATATGCCAAGTAGATTAAGGAGAACACAGATGTTGGAGATAGACTCCGACATAGTACACTTAGCACATAAGGTTTCATCAGTTTAATTAATTAATGAAAATAACATTAATATTATGAACTACATAAGGTATAAACACTTATAAATTCTATGTACTGTGAAAATTAATATGGTAGTTAGACAGTGGTACAGCTAGTTATAGCATATTAACTGGCAATGTTAATTTAAAGATAAAAAACAAAGCCCAGACCAAACATAATAAAAGTGGTCAGGGGGGGGAGTCTACGCAGTCTACAAATCAGTCAGAATAAATTTGATTTCTGCAAATGCAATATGGCGGGACATGTATTAACATTTTAAAATTTTTTATCATGTATTACGATATTAAAACGAGATCCAAGAAGCCTCGTCACTACAGATTGTTTCTACTAAATTTAATGTTGGTCAGACAAGCATGGTATGTTTACTACAATATTTTCCTTTAACTTTGCATTTACTGTATTTCATGATCAGTTCATATTTATGAATGTGATTGTATAAAATATTTCTCCTAAAATTCTGCCCATGGCATTGTTTCAGTAGTTCTTTTGGTTGTATATAAAAACAGTTCAATGAATAACTTTGCAGTTTGCTGTTAGGTCGCACCGTTTGCAAGGTCTAACGCCATTGGCTACAGCATGTTAATTGGTGGTCGTGGTGGTCGATGAATCACAGAATCACTTTAGAGGCCTTTCTTACTTCCGTTTGAATCTCGCTTCGAGACTGGAGAAAGATCGAGTGCGATGAATAAATTCATGAGTTAAATATATAATATCCGCGTCAATTGCCTGTTTGTAAATATAACAATTGAGTTGCGAAGAATATTTTATGAGTTAAATCGATACAATATCAATTAAATCGATACAAAATCACTTCCCAAAACGAAATTATATTGCTATTGTATTGACACATGATATCAGTATTACTAACAAGTCAAGTGTGTAGTTTCAAGGTACGATGAATAAATTCATGAGTTAAATATATAATATCCGCGATATAATCATGATATAAATATAACAGTTGACTTGCGAAGCATATTTTATGAGTTAAATCGATACAATATCAAAATCTATACAAAATCACTTTCCAAAACAAAATTATATTGTTATTGACATGCGATAATGCTAATATACAGTCTATGCACAACAAGATAATAGACTTACAAGCGAGGTCTATGCGCAACAACCTGTTGTTCTTCAACATACCCGAACACGAGAATACTGAATACAACAGAAATTATACATGATCTCTTAGAGCAAAAGATAGAAACCAGACTGGAAAGTTTGTAAAATGCGCGGCGGAGATCGAAATTTGCCCGTTTTTTTGCGCGGCCAGATGGCGAAATTTGCGCGGGCAACTAGGGCGTGGTCAACTAGGGCGTGGTCAATTCGCCTCCAGGCCCCCGCCCGATGCGATTTCTTATTAGTACCTTTTTGTTCCAACATTATCTATTAAACAATAAATTACTACGTAAATACTACAATAAATTACTAAGTAAATACATTAATATCGGTATTTATAAGCATGTGTAATTGAATCTATACTGTACTTACCAACGTTTACTTCTTCAGCAATCATAGTCCACCTACCGTGTCGGCGTATCCATCCTTCCATCATGTACAAGTACATAGCTGTAAGTAGCACATATTTGGTTTTTGAGAAAAGTACCTTTCAAACTCATCTTTTCTTCCTATGAAAGTTCAGAAGACAAATGAGTTCAAGAGGCAGCTCACTCACACATAAATGAAAAATGCCAATATAGCCATCAGAAGAAACAATTCCCAGCTCAAGCTTGTCAGTTCGATTTCCACGCATAGTTCATTTACTGTTTCAAACACTTGATATACGAAACCGCATTGTCCATTGATAGTTAATGAATTCAGCAGCAAAAATGTGTAGTTCTATTATATTATTCGTAAGTTCAAAAAGGTGCCAAGAAGAGCAGGAGTCCAGCAGACGAGACAACGCAATCCATTAATGTGTAGTTCAATTATATCATTTTTAAGTTCAAAAAGGTGGCAAGAAGAGCAGCAGTCCAGCAGATGAGACAACGCGATCCATTAATGTGTAGTTCAATTATATCATTTTTAAGTTCAAAAAGGTGGCAGGAAGAGCAGGAGTCCAGCAGATGAGACAACGCGATTCATTAATGTGTAGTTCAATTATATCAGTTTTAAGTTCAAAAAGGTGGCAGGAAGAGCAGCAGTCCAGCAGATGAGACAACGCGATCCTTTAATCAATGTGTAGTTCTATTATATCATTTTTAAGTTCAAAAAGGTGGCAGGAAGAGCAGCAGTCCAGCAGATGAGACAACGCGATCCATTAATGTGTAGTTCAATTATATCATTTTTAAGTTCAAAAAGGTGGCAAGAAGAGCAGCAGTCCAGCAGATCAGACAACGCGATCCTTTAATTAATGTGTAGTTCTATTATATCATTTTTAAGTTCAAAAAGGTGGCAGGAAGAGCAGCAGTCCAGCAGATGAGACAACGCGATCCATTAATGTGTAGTTCAATTATATCATTTTTAAGTTCAAAAAGGTGGCAGGAAGAGCAGCAGTCCAGCAGATGAGACAACGCGATCCATTAATGTGTAGTTCAATTATATCATTTTTAAGTTCAAAAAGGTGGCAAGAAGAGCAGCAGTCCAGCACATGAGAAACGCGATCCTTTAATGTGTAGTTGTTATATCATTTTTAAGTTTAAAAAGGTGGCAAGAAGAGCAGCAGTCCAGCAGATGAGACAACGCGATCCATTAATGTGTAGTTCAATTATATCATTTTTAAGTTCAAAAAGGTGGCAAGTAGAGCAGCAGTCCAGCAGATGAGACAACGCGATCCTTTAATGTGTAGTTGTTATATCATTTTTAAGTTTAAAAAGGGGGCAAGAAGAGCAGCAGTCCAGCAGATGAGACAACGCGATTAATGTGTAGTTCAATTATATCATTTTTAAGTTCAAAAAGGTGGCAAGGAGAGCAGGAGTCCAGCAGACGAGACAACGCGATTCATTAATGTGTAGTTCAATTATATCATTTTTAAGTTCAAAAAGGTGGCAGGAAGAGCAGCAGTCCAGCAGATGAGACAATGCGAGCGACCCTTAATGTGTAATTCTATTATATCATTTTTAAGTTCAAAAAATTTGCGGGAAAAGCTAAACTAAAGCAGCAGATGAGACAACACAGCGAGAAAGAAAAGTTACAGAAGGAAAGGAAATTTTACGGGCACGTTTACAATTCTTCTTACCACTTTGGACAGATCATCTTCACTTTTTCTCCATGATCTCTTGTCCTTGTAAACTGGCACGTGGTGTCGCTTGAGACCTCTGGCCTTGTCACCATCTATGTAAAGTCTCGCCATTTCGGTGAGAGCCGGTTCACATTGAATCACTGGTGGAAGAGACCAATCAACCTTGGAACGATTGACAAGAACCTCGTGACTCTGTCCACCATCCATTTCTTGCTTCTCTATAACACGGTAAAACGATTCTGCAACGGCTTCAGTACCTGTCTTTGCGTACATGATGTCAAAAACAAGGCAAAACTTTGGGCCAATGACAGAGTAAAATGAGGAATCGCAGTACAATGCTGTGATGACATTTTCCTCCTGAAAAAGAACTTCCATTGTTTCTCCATTGCTTAATTCTAGATGGAAGACTTCTGACAATGTGAATTTCTTTGGGACCGATACTTCGAATTCTTCGACCACGACCTCTTGAGGAAGATTATGGATTTCCAAAATATCTGTCCCATCAGGTGACGTGCTTGAAATCTTCTTGAAAAAATTCCAAAAATGCGAATGAAACATTTTCCCCCAGACAACTTCGATCAACACTTTTTTCAGTCGCCAAAAGACCATTGCAGAAAGCTCACCTCCCAACTCCATATTTTGCTTTCGAACATGCGGCATCTGGGATACAAATGTGACACATCGGCGAAACTCTGCTGCTCCATGTTCCGAAAATATCCTGTTATCCACAGGTATTTTCCCATCAACTCTTGTTCCACACAATGCCGTAAAAAGATTTCCAAAATCTAAGCATTTGTGAAGGGTCTTGTTGAGTTCTGCATAGCTATTTTCAAAACGCTGCTGAAGCTCGCCAATAATATCTTCTGCCAGATCCCTCAAATCCGACAAGCAGTCATCCGGTTCTCGTGCCTCCCAATCAACTGGCATTCCGTCTTCACCTTCTTCGGTCACGAACCAACCTAAAACTAATTCACTATTGCCGTATCGTAACCGCTTGATTTCACTGATTCGCTTGTGCAATCGGGGACAGATGGCAGCATCGGGAACATCTTTGCGCAACTCGCCAATGAATTTCTTCATCTCGGCTTTCACCAACGGGACGTAACGGCACAGTTTCCAACCTGGACACCAGTTGGCCTGAGACTGCAACATCAGCACGACGAGGGGCCACAATAGGTCGAGAATACCTATCAAATCAAGAACAAAATCTTGACCGCACAACTTGTACCCAAAATCTTCGCGGTTGTCATGATCCTTAAACGTCTCTATGTAGACTTCCAAACTTTCTTGTAGGTTCTTAAGTGACAAGTAGCTGGAACTCATAAAATGTTGGTGGGCGTAGGCGTTTGTCACTCGGAAAGGAAGAGAAAGATCTTTCGCCGTTGCACGTGCTACACTGTGCATCTTACCATGACTAAATAACTGGTGGAAAAGTGCTGTTCTCTTCAGAAGACGTGCTACAAAAGAGGTTTCTTTAACTTTGCAAAAACTTTATCCAGCCAGTGTGCCGGGTCCCACTGAGCTGGCCACCAAAACCTGTCCTTGCAAGAAAGCTCGTTTTCTAGCTGCCGCATTATGGGTTTGTTCATAGCAGCTATGAACGGTTCGTTGAGGTATTGGCCATCCATTACCTTTCCCTGCATCTGGAAAAGACGTTCGTCCTTTAAACCAACGTGCTTCTCAAGGTCACGAAATATAGCCTTTGCAAGATCATCCCCTGCACCACCAGTCGCATCAGAATTACTGTACACCTGAGCTGCGTCCAGTACAATTCCTCTTCGTGCGCCATCCACGATAGGACAAACTAAGGTAACCTGGTTTGTAACTCTGTGATTCGTGGATTTATCAGCAGTTACGTAAAAATGTGGCAGCATTCCTGTGTTTGGCAAAGGAGTGGAAAGGAAGGTAGTAGTCTTTTCATCGATGTAGGCACAGATGGCGGATAGCATTGATGGAAAGAGCTTTCGTGAATGGCCGAAATCGCAACATCTGCCCCTGATGCTTGAAGTTCTGCTATACGGGCTTCGTACTGAACTGCTGCTGCTTTCGACTTCACAATTCCAATAGCAGTGCGAAGTTGGTTTTTTATTACGGTAACCTTCCTCGTGTTTCCTTGATCCACTGACTTCATATGCTCAAGAGCTGCGGTATGGGTTTTGGAGACAAGATGCTCACCTATACGTTCTTTCCGGTGGTACCACTTATCGCACTTACCAGCAACCAATTGTTGATATAGCTCCTCTGACAGCTGAAGACCAGTGGATAAAGCCCCATATGATGCTCCAGTTGGTCGTCGAAATGAAGACGAGTAAGCTATGGGAGACGATAAAAATTCCGCACAAGTACTGCATCTCAACATGCGACTGCCCTCCTCCCCAATGATCTCAAACTGTGGGAATTCATCCAAAAGTTCAAGTAGGTTTCCAGCATTTATTGCAGAGGGTTGAGCCTGCGGATTTGGTGTACCCGTCACATGTTTACATTTTGCTGCTGAATTCATTTTGTGCGCAAGTTTCGAAGCCAGTTTCTCAGCAAGTGACTCCAAATCAAAAGGTAACCCCACCAGATCATTTGTGCTTGTTTCCGTTTCTGGTAGAAAGCTAGCAATTGAACTTTGATACAGGCGTGCAGGTTCAAATGACGTGGTTGGAGATTGAAGCTCCTGAGTACTGATCTGGCCCCTAAATGATGATAATTGCATAAATTGATGTACCTACCTGCTACGCCATTTAAATTGATTTCGTAATAGCATGAGATTCAAATTTAATATAAATACTCTGTAGACTGTAGGTAGTGTTTCTGGTAAACTGAAGGGGTGGTTGGTGACTTGCAATTGGTGTATCGCTAAGATAATGGACAACAAAATATTGACGTTTTACATGTAAGCTAAACTCAGCGACGTCGCAGTTCATTGGTAAAGACTGGGCGTTAAAACTGCGTCAGTATTTCGTTATTCAAAATATCGAAAGTTTACCATGGCCTTTATAATTTTACCGCATCATGCATATAACTTCACCGGATCATCCATACAGATTTTAACTTCATGCAGTTTGACTTTATATATTACTCACATAACATCTGGTAATGTATTGATATCCAATTCCTTGTCTTTTTTTTCACGTATAGCAGGTTCTATGTTAGTACTAGCAACAAAAAACAGAATAAGAAAATATCAACTTTACACGAACTACGTAGCTAAATTGCCTTAAGAGCGCCCTCCGGAGGGTCCCATTTACATTGACTTCAACTTATGCCAGATTTTGGCAGACTCCTCAGATAAGAAGCAATTAAAATAAGTTTCATATGACCACCCACCTATTAATGATAATTTCTGTAATGGCATCACCAGAACTTGCTGGATCAACAGAAGAGGGAACATCCGTCACTTGTCTGCTATCATTGTCATCTCTATATGATAAATATATTCTCAACATAGTTCAGAATTTGGAAATACATACATACATTAGTGTTTTGAAACAGAACTGTACATGCCTTACTGAATATGAAATATTCTAAAGAATCGTAGCCTACCTTCCAGTTACATTCTTATCTCCATCCAAACAGATTGTTACCACAGATGAAACAGAAGATGTGGAATGACTGGAATCCTTAATTGATGTACTTTTAGTTTCATCCGTGCTATTTCCACTACAAAAGTATTGTTAAGGTATAGCGGTTATAATTATGTGGTATTCGCGCTATTCAACGACAAGAATGACTTTGAAAAAGCTCATCACAGGTTTACCAGGAGGAAATGTCTCGACGCATTAACGTAGTCAAACTTTTATAGAAGATTTTTTTAAACAATTGTTAATAGGATGCTTTTTATATAATTATTGGTTACCTTGAATTAGTGCGCCGGTAGACCACCATAGCCTCTTTTGCAGCAGGGGAGTGTTCCAACACGATCTGGTCTTTCACGAATTGTATATCTTCGTGTTGGTGCGCTTTGGATTTAGCATGACCGTCCTTAGTAGAAGCATTAAATCTACGCAACCAAAACTTTTTTTCCTTTTTGCGAAAGCAAATCAAGCAAATTGGCATAGGCGTGTTCTCGTGACCATGTTTAACCCGGTTCACTGGTTTCGCTTTGGCCGGTAATTCAGGCGGCCTCTTGTTGAATAATTTCTTAAATGCTGTAAAAAAACTTAGCTGAGTCTATTATACTCTAACATTAAATGCACGCAGCATCATGCTGTTCATGCATTATATAGTTATTTTGCAACCACAATTTATATTAAGGTGGCTCAATACAGTTTTTTGGACCATCATTACTTGTTGATAAACAAAAAGTACCTTACTTATGTTAAACATCTAAAGAGTTTGAATTTTTGCACAAAAGTTATGCAACTGCCGTTGCTATGGCAACAATGACGTTTCAAGATGGCGGATATTTTGGCTTTAAAGTAATTTAACTCGTAAATGATATCAGTGACCCCGAAATTTTATTTTTAAAAATGATTTCTCTTAGTATAATCAATTATTTTGACAATTAAAAAAAAATTCTGTAGAGCCAAATTTTTTTAAATTTCGTAAAGGTAATTCATAATAATTTTTTTTTGGCTCCACAGATTTTTTTAGACAGTCAAAATAATTTATTATACTAAGAGAAATAATTTTTTATAATAAAATTTTGGGGTCACCGATGTCGTTTACGAGTTAAATCACTTTAAAGCCAAAGTATCCGCCATCTTGAAACGTCATTGTTGCCATAGCAACGGCAGTAACTTTTGTGTAAAAATTGAAACTATTTAGATGTTGTTTTATATAAGCAAGGTACTTTTTGTTTATCAACAAGTAATGATTGTCCAAAAATACGCATCTAAATCGCGAATTTTCCATTTTTTTAAAAAACTGTATTGAGCCACCTTAAAATTAACTGGATATACAAAAGTTGTGTACCTGATTCCTCAATTATTTTCCCCGCTTTTCCGCCTTTTTTCGTCGAATTTGTATCGCTGCAACTGTTGCAAATCACTTGTGCTCCATAGCCTTCTTCTTCGCAAGACTGAGAACACAAGGTAATAGCATGGCAAGGTTTCTTGCAAGATTTGCAAGAGTGGTGCCCACACGGCTTATTGCAAGAAACACAAATAGGATCGGATTCAACTACAAAGTATAAATTTAAATAAATCTACTTGCAAAATCTGAAACCAAGGTTACTCAAAATCATCTTTATTAGGGTCAATAAACTTACACCAATAAACCTAAACTAATAAAATAATGACCCTAAATGGGCAAGGCGCAAACGGGAAAAAGGTTCTATATATAATATATTGTTACAATATTTATTCGGGTAGCACAAGGTTAGCATGTTCTTTTTAAAACAACAAATTTCATACAGTTGGAAAAAATATTCGAATTCTTTTCGCGGCAATCGCGGGTTGTATCGAAAATTGACAGAGTTACATAGTGAAAAGAATAATTTCTACTACAATTTGACCTTCTACAAAATTCTCCATTGTTATTAAAAAATCAGAATTCCTAATCTAAGAAAAAAAGTAATTTATTATCAGAACTTACAGTAGATAGTGTCAGAGTGATACCCCGTCCGGGACCGTCCCCGTCCTGTATCATGTAAATCAATCTCTTGCCTTCAGCTGTAGCCTGTTCACCCTGTTGTACACTATAGTGTATATCGAATACAACACGGGCACTCATCTTATAAACATTTATCATAATCACGTTGTAAATAGATGTTACTGTATTTCAATCAGTCATACTCGTAATAAGACATTGAGGCAAATAAGGCAACGAGACGCCATGGCCCAATGCCCATGGCATAGATATCTCTATGACGCATGCATTCACGCCTACAGTCATATAAATCAATGGCATTGCGTTGCATGACAGACAATTTCAAGTGTTTGATTTAACTAAGCTTTGATACTCATTTCAGAGTCATTTGTAAGTTTGTACTATCTTTGGACTTTGGTTTTTGCCTTTTAAATTTATTCACTATTCACTTAGTTTCAGTGACTCAATACCGAGTAGCGAGTACTGACAAAGGCGCAACTGCGCAAGCCGCAAAGTTGAACCCTGAAGCAACGTTGATTAACTATTTAACTTAAAACAACAAAGAGGTTACTATCTAAATATATTGATACAATACAACTTACCTCAATTCTCAAACAATGACGAAACTGTAAAAATCCAAATAAGACCAACGAGTTGAAAATCTTAAAACACTTAACACTAGATCGCACAAGCAACAATCGATATTCACCGCAGAATGCCAGAAGAGTAAGTTACAACGAACACAATTTACTTACACACGCAAGATTTTAAACAAAACTGTGACAGCGTGACAGTGGCTAATTGCAATCCAGTTTCCAGATTCCAATCGTTAATGCTCATTGGCAGAAGTGAACGACAAAGCCGGAAATCTGTTAGGATTTACCTGCTTATCAGTCATCACATCTGGCTAAGGCACTTTACTAACAGCATCGTTTTACAACGACGCCCAAAGCAATACGCACACAGAAATTTGTTTAATTAACGCGTCACGCGATTAACGCCGATTTTGATTGACAAAATTGCACGCCTGCTAATTTTTTCAAACATTACGCGCGCGCGTGCAAATATTTCTCGACGAGCCCAGGACCACGCGCGCAAACAAGCGCACCAAAAATTGCTTTACATTGCGCGCGCGCGGGACAATTTCTCCAAATTGCGCGCGCGGGACAATTTACATTGCGCGCACTGGACAATTTCTCCAAATTGCGCGTGCGCGGGCAACATTGGGTCGAAATTGCGCACCGGAGATCTCCGGCGCGTGGTACAAACTTTCCAGTCTGGGATAGAAATCATTCAAATCAAAGACGCACGTAAGCATGTCAAGATTGACCGATCTCATCGAATTGGCCGTAAGAGAGAAGGCAAGAGCTGCTTCCCTGAATTGAAGAAGGCAAGAGCTGCGGGAAAACAATCAAGAATTGTTAAGGATAAAATGATTATTGCCTTCAATAATCAATTTATCCTTAACAATTCTTGATTGTTTTCCCGCAGCTCTTGCCTTCTTCAATTCAGGGAAGCAGCAAGTTTTTAATAATACTAATACATGTTAATACAAATACTCACTTAATACTATGTTATGTATATTGCGGTGTGTTTTGAAAATCTAATTTAACATTGGACAAAACTACTTTCTAAATGGCTACTCGTAAAAATAAGCACGAGAAAAAATGCTATTCCTGCTTCAAAATAATTCAAGAAACACAAAAATATATTGAATGTCTCACATGTGAAAAATTGTTTCACACTGTGTCTGCTTGCGCAAAGTCATTTGACTCCAATACAAATAACACTATTGACATGTGTCAAAATTGCTTATCTGATACTACCACACACTTGACAATTTAGAGTATGAATTTACCGTTTTAAACAAAAAATATCAGTGAAAACGATATGGATAGGCTAAAGCATTTGAAATTTAACCCTTTCGACACTCGTTTTAATAATATTGCCTAATCTGAAAACAACGCAAATATGGAAAAAAACAATAATAAACAACTGTGAATATTAAGTTTACCAAATGATTTCAATAAATTTACCAACAAGGCGAATCTCAACGAAAGCTTTTCGATGTTACACTTAAATACAAGAAGCATAATAGTTAATAAATTTGACTCTTTGAAGGAGTTAACCAAATCATTAATTAAACATACCATTAGACATAATGGTTTAACTGAGCTGAGACATAGCTAAATGATAATATTAAAATAATGAGAACTTTTTGCAAACTTACTTACTTCCTTACTGTATTTATCATCATGAATCGTAGCGGTAAACTACAATTGAATCCATATTCATAAAACTCATTACAGCTGTTGGTGAAACGTATTACTATTAATAGCGGTAATATACAGACCGCCAAATAATAAAATTGATTCATTTGAAAATATAATGAATCAGATACTAGGCAAAATAGACAAAGAAAATAAGATAGGCCAGCTCATGGGGGATTTTATTAATTAATACAGATCTCTTGAAATCAGAATCTTGTGATTTATACTAGCAGATTCCTAGAACAAATGTTTACGTCTTCATTTTTCCCACTTATATTAAGACCAACAAGAATCACACAACACACTGCCACATTAATTGATAACATTTTTACTAATGATATTGAAAATATAGAAGGCAGCACAAATGGGATATTATTTTGGGATATCTCAGCCCACTTACCCATAGTTCATGTCGCTACGTAACTTAAAAACGCGACATGTAACACCACCAGCAAAATAATTTATTTACAAAAGAATGTAATACTATAAAAAATATGTCATGGGAAAACGTGCTTTCTAGGACCCGGTCATAAAGTATGTGTGCTGTGGGGGGGTGGAAGGTATTCCAAAATTCAACCATAAGATTTGGCACTCCCCGCCCCCCCAAAGCATCGGAAAATATTCAATACCCCCCCCTCAAAGGAGATGAAATGTTTCGTCCCCCCCACGCGTAACCAACCAAACAAAAACATAAACTTCTGAGAACATAACCACCTATGACATAACTGTTTTGCAAATTATTGCAATCCATTGTCTGTATTGAAATATTTATCGTAGCCATACAGTACAGGGTGTATAAAAAAAACGCAACCTCGGAATTTCCCGAGAAATCAACATTGTTTTAAGGTAATTCCGCAGCAATTGTTCCCGAAATGAGAATGTGCTGAAACTTCCCAGGCATGGAGTTTATAATATACTTAAAGTAAAATCACACAAAAAAGTCGGAGTCACCGAACTCGTTAAAATTAAGAAGATATGAGAATCACAATATATCACCTTTACCCAGTGTTGTAACGAGTCGAGTCATTGACTCTGACTCGAGTCAACTCGAGTCGCTATTTTCAGCGACTCGACTCGAGTCCAATACGAAAAATGACTCGACTCGAGTCAACAGCCCCAAATGACTCGACTCGGACTCGACTTGCTGATTTTGCCTTAAATGACTCGAGTCAACTAAGCTACAACTTGTACAGAATAAATTCATCACAATTATTGTGATTGTATTGCTTGGGAAGAACAATGAGCCCTGTAAACAATGAGAACTTCGAAACTTTATCAGAAAATATATGGGATTTGCATAGAATATATTCCTGACGGGCATACCTATATTACATTTCTGATTTTAGAAACAACGCTAGTGCCACAGTTTTTAAAATTGAGTCTCAAATTTTTTTGTACTTATATACTAATTCTGACAGGCTATTTTCATTTTTGGTATTTATGAAGGGCTATATAATTTCAAATTAACTACAAAGCGTTGTTAATTAAAGTCTATTCTTTGTTAATTCTGACTCCAGTTGCAAGTTTTGCTAGTTGTATGTACGTACACTCGATCAGCAGGCATGATGAGACATCTGATGTGGTTGTACTTAATATTGACTAGAACTGTGATATTGGCACAGCCTATAGCTGCCCAGATACTGTTATTAAATGACGAAAGTAATTAGTTTAAAACGCAAATTTGATTACTAATTTCCTACTGCAAGCTAGGTCAAGCTCAAATCAAGTCTAGAAATTGACTCGACTCGACTTAAATCAGTGACTCGACTTGACTTGAGTGAAGCCGCTGACTCGACTCGACTCGAGTGAAGCCACTGACTCGACTCGATCAAAAACTGAAATGACTCGACTCGTGACTCAACCTTTGAGTGACTCGACTCGACTCGTGACTTGACCTATAGGTGACTCGTTACAACACTGCCTTTACCCCAATATGGCACCATCTTGACGCTCATTACGAGTAACAGCAAAATCACAACAGCCCGATATTTATTGACGTTTTTGGTGCGGATTTTGCTTTAGTAAACCTATCTTGTAATTATTTTTGAAAAAATATTGTGTTTCTGAGCAAAATGAAACTACTAACGTGTACATCCACAAATGTCTTTTCCACATTTCTTTACATGTCTTTCCGTTTGAGAACATGCATTGATAAAGGACTTTTTTTTCAAGATCTAGAAATGATTTTTCTTTTAATTTCGGATATGAAATGTAAAATGCATTAAAGAAATAAATTATCAGTTAAAAAAACGGGGGTCACCGATCTTTTTACGGAATTGTGGCATTAAAATGTCAAATACAAGTAAATAAATATACTACAGACACAGGGAACCCTAGCTACACTTTTGTATGCCTTTTTGAAAACATTGATTTTAACATAATTCTTTGCACGAATGTAACCAAAGATGTTTTGAAGTAACATAAAATTGTCATAAAATGATATTTTTTTTAAACGGTACGTATAATGGATGAAATTATAAGTTATAAGATGTGCGCAGTAAAAGTGCGCAATGCAAAACTGCGGAATTACCTTAAAGACAAAAGATTTTAGGCGCCTGGGAATTTAAAATTGCACAACTGTCAAAATTACAGCACACGCGAGTTGCATAAAGCAAAATTTATTTAATGCAAAACAACAGTAATATGATCTATTAGAATTTGATTTCAATTCCCAGGGGCCTAAAATCTTTTATGCTTAAGAATGGCAAAGTGATTTCTTAGGAAATTCCGAGGTTGCGTTTTTTTTATACACCCTGTCTGGTTAATCGATAGAGTGTTGAACATGATATCTCACGAGTGAGCGCAGCAAACAAGTGAGATATCATGTTCAACACAAGAAATAAATCTGGTATTTCCAAGCACCCATGTATTTTTCTGTTTATTATATAAAGGGCAACAATTTTGCCAGGGAGTGTCCGACTGGCTATCGTATGTTAGAGGCTCCAAAGGCGGTAGAATCCTTGTGATGTTGTCCACTGTTCACCCAGTGTTCTTTTAAACAAATGTCCTAGCTGCTCAAAAATGCAAAATCTTTCAAGCCTGTGGATACAATACTGACATGAAAAGCTTCAGTAGATTTACATGCAGGAATTTTTTTTTGAGCGCTCTCTTTTGCACGATATTTTCTCCTCTCGATTGTATTTTCAAACTGTGAATTTTTACTGGTCAGTGACAGGCACTTATTTCGAGGCCTTGGCAGAACACGAATATATGAATATACACCCCCCACCCGACCCCAATTATAGCGCTAGGAACGGCCCTGCCTTCACCATACTACCATTGCCACCATCGCCACCGCTGCCTCACTATTTCAACTGCTGCATATATATTGTACTTGTACTACCTGCAAATTTTATTTTTTTAGAGTAATGTTATTAATGTTAAAACAACCATTATATATCAGAAATATTATTGGCTTGCTACCATCGCCACCACTGCCTCACTATCTCAACTGCTACTGCTGCATATATATTGTACTTGTACTACCTGCAAATTTTATTTTTTTAGAGTATAATATTATTAATATTAAAACAACCATTATATATAATTATTATAGTCTACTGAAATGTCAAGGGTCTATCTAGTCCTCCAGTGTCTACTAATTTTTATCTTGTTCTATTTGATTTCTCGTTGGAGTGATACTAATTCAGTTTCAAATTAAACATAAAGTTATTGTGATTCAGTGGATTTATCTTTTGTGCTGTTTGTTTGTAAATCGTCGCATATATTTTGGATTCCATTACCGAAGTTGTTTATCGTGTTGCAGTGCCTATATCCTTACGAATAGTGAAATTTGACTTCGTCTTTTTCTCGTTTTCAGCATATTGGATTTGCTTCAAGTTTTCTCTGTGGACTACGTGTTTTGTTCCTGTTATTGTCTTAAGTTTTGGTGTTTTAACGTTAAACTCAATTTAAATCATTTGAGTTATAAAATTTGACTGTTGGGATTATCTGAATAAATAGCGTCTAGCATCGTTCGTCATGGCAACATCTTAATGTACTTATAAAGGAGCCTCCGTCGTTTAAAGTCAAGTTTCTACGCTGGAAGATTGATTGTGTTTGTCTGTTATTTCGTAACATTTTGGGTTACTTATTGTTCTTTGTGGTGCAGTTTTCGTGTGTTTTTTGTATGTTTGATGTTTCATTTAATATTCTGTCTTGTATGAACGAATTCCTCACCTTTGACTTTGGTTTTATATCTTCAATATCATCTCTGGTTTCACCACAATTAGGGGACTCCCCGCCATTAGCTATATACATAAAATTTAAAATTCCGAAATTTGGCGTATAAAGTGTTTATTATCAAGATTATTGGATAAACTTTTGTCGCTGTTGTAAATTTGTGAGTGCATTTTGTTGATATGATGTTTCGTTATTTCGTTGGATTTTTGTTTATGCTTTTCACTCGTCCGTTGGGCCAGTTGGGCTTCCGTTCGTCAGAAAACAACGCTCGCGTAACTGGCGTAAGTTGTGAGGTGTTCAACCGCAAAACGCATGCAAAAAATGGAACAAAATTGAAATTAACAATTCGTAATCGGAACATTCTCGCAGCGATTTTTTTCGTGGTAAATTTGGTTTGAAACTGTCGCTGTTTGGTCAATTTTTGTTTTTATCTGCACTTCTATGGCTATCTCTTAAATCAAAAACTAATTCGTATGTTCAAGTAGACAAACGAAATCTGCCTGGAAACGTTTGTATCAGTTCCGAACTTGCAATTTTGCCAAGCAAACAATGTTGTATCTGGATTTCTACACGTGATGTGATACAAATAAAGTTCAACATGCCAACAAAACGTGTGCATGTTATGGAATTCAGGATAAACCGCAAGAACAAGCATTTTCTACTTTACAATTTACTGAGTGGTGATATTGCAACGAATCCAGGGCCTGCAACTCGGATCAGTAATTTATGTCGACCTTTCAGCATATTTTACCAAAACGTCAGAAGTCTACTTACTATTCGCGCAACACAAAGGAAAATTAGGCCGTCACATATCTGCTATGTCTTTCAAGTTTGTTGCACATGTCGCGAGGCTAAAAAATTCTGCCATAACACAATGCATATTAGTCTCCTTGTTCATGAAATACAAAGCCCCTGTTCACTAGTGTGCACAATAGGTAGCAAATAGACTTGAAACTTTGATAATATTCAATCAATGTTTCGTTTATGCTATCTTGAAATCGTGTGTGTTTCCATGGCAACATAGCTGCCATGCGCGGATAAAAGCAATATGGCAGCTGAACAAGTTCGTCACTCAAATATTTTAAATTGAATAAATGTTGTATTCATTTTGAGGATGTTTCACAATCACTTCTAAAGGTCACAGAGAAGCGTTTGTTGCTTGTCGTGAGAAATTGGCGAAGCTCAAAGACCGGAAATCTGTCGCAATTCGGACTTGTTTACTAGCAAAGATGGGGTCACCATTTAATTATACCCCCCCCCCCCTATAGACAAGAGTTTCTGAGGGGGGTTGAAAAAGCTGTTTCTGAGGGGTTGTGTGCATCGGCATACTTTGATCTTTGAGGGGTTTTTTTGAGGGGAGGTTTCCCCTTTATAGGACCTTACAGGGCTTCACATTTTATTGAACTCGTCCGTAGGTGCGGGGTGTACATTAAGTTTAAAGTGCGGTACAGTCTGTATGTAAACAAAGGCTTTGTTTACATGTCGGTATCCAAAACATTGAATTTCATTCGACAACTATTTATATTTTCATGATTCTAGAGACACAACATATTATCAAAAACACAACAATTACACTTTTACTGTTTGTATAATAAAAAGAGGGCTCCTTTGTGCACATGCACAGATCGGACTGTACCTCATCTTTAATGTCCAGACCCCCCCCCCCGTCCTCTTTGCATGAATTTTTCTGAAGGGTGACCCCAAAGTCATTTCTGTGCGGTTAAGCCTGTCGCCATACTTTGATGTTTTTTATTGTTCTGAGGGGTAAGGGAAAATTTACAAATATCAGAGGGGTTTTGTGTCAGGCTGTCAGCACTTTGATTTTTTTTTTCTTGGGAGTTAAAATTGTACTGACCTTATCGATAGGAGGGGGATGTGGATATTAAATAGATAGCCCAATGTAGAAAGGCATTCTTCACGCTCTAACTGCTGTGGGGAACTCGAAGGGTGTTTGGGTGCCCAGAAGCGGCTACCATGACCCCCCCCCCCGACAAAAAATGACCATAAACATTTTGCTAGTACATTGGGAAAATTGGCCTGAGCCTCAGTTGTATAGAGTCAGAAAATTTGCAACAGGTGGCCCCTAAAAGCAGGAATTGGTGAAATTCGGACCCCCTTTATAGTAGACATACACAGGGAAAAATTTGTTATTTTTAAGGAATATGGTTTGAAATTTTTTTTTCTTTCCCACCCTCAACTTAAGTTTGAAAAAATAAGACCCCACTTAAAAAATTAAATGGGGGCGTCAGGAGGCACTGGGAACTCGACTGGTATTACCATGAGAACTGCTATAAAAGACTTTGTGATTAAAACAAGTTGCAAAAAGTGGAGGAAAAGAGAACATGAGGCAGTGAAATCTTAATTGGCTGTGAAGTTGCAGACTGTTCCACCAAAGAAGCTTTTACACTCATCACTTGACAATGATGGTCCCCAAAATAGTGACATGAGGGCTAGATCACCAAATGTTTTGCCCCCAGCATGCATAATATGCGAGAAACAATCCGATTTGTTTGTCATGGTATGTCTTACATTGTAATTATATGGTATATTTATCATTAAATGAAATCAATATACAGTTGCTAGTAAATGGTACAGCGATCACATAGCAAAATAATCACCTGAATAATCTTTATTCCAAAATTATTACCCGTGAAGAATAACCTTTGTTGCGTGTGAGACTTCAGATGCAAGTCTATTGCGCGAAGCTGGCACAAAGAAAAAGGACAACTACAGGATCTTATTAAAAATGGTGGAAAAGATCGTGTTGCCATTGAGGTTAAGTACCATAATAACTATTTGTATGGACAGGATAAGACATCATGCTTCTATATTGCTTAAGAAAAAGCTAGCCACTGTGAAGTGGCTTATGGCCCCTTGGCTGCCTGTAGCTGAATGAATAACTTTACTAAATGAATTTCTTGTAAAGAAGTTATTCTACGGAGTGGAATTAATAGCAGATTTTCGATGTTCAGTGATATTGCCTGTTGAGTAATGTGCCTGTTGAGTAATAATGGTTTGCTTGTGTGCAGCATGCATTGGTAAAATTTGGCCATGTAATATCAGAACTACTCCAAAAGAACTGTCTGATCATGGTGAAATTAGTTAGTCTGGCGACATGTGCAACAAATTTCATCTTCCAGGTTTTTTCCAAAGGCTTTAGATGACGGGTAAACAATTTGAATGTTTTAGTCACATTTTAGTTTTCTGATTTGCATCACCACTTTAATTCACACACTGTGGTGCACAATTTAAGGTACTAGTGCAAAATAAGCCCTTTCCCTGCATACAGTCTGTCAATATAAGCTTTACTGGAGAAAAAAATGCTGACTCAGCATTTTTTAAAAACTTTGGAACGTGATATCTCGCTAACGAACGACTGAACGTTTTCAGTGTAATATAATTTTTTTGTCCAATTATGCACCTGAATCTGATGGCAATAAACATTTTTCAAAATTCGAACATTTTTACCTTTCGGAACTATAGATGATGTCATCACCAGAATATAGTCGATTTCTCGTTGTTGTGCACACTTATGACCGGGTTTTTTTTTATTATTTCATTTGGCATGCTACTCTACTACTTTATGAAAGAAATCATTAGCCTCCCGATGTGTGCAACGAAAGTCACTTTCTAGGCATATTGTTAGCCTTATGTGATGGCCTAAATAAGTTGTCTAGTTTCCACGACATTGTTTCAACCAACCAATTTGATGTTATTGCCATGACGGAGACATGGCTCGACAGTTCTGTTTCCAACCATGAACTGTTACCAAGTGGGTACAAAATCTCAAGACGGCATAGAGAGAGAAAACGTGGTGGTGGTGTTGTACTTGCTGTCAAGGATTCGATCAAAACCGAGCCATTTAAATTCACCTCCTCTTCTTTGGAACTTGTTGGCATTGTTATAAAATCTTTGTCTAATAGCTTCTTGGTGTGTGTAAGCTATCGTCCTCCTAATGCTGGCCCTGAATTTCTTCAAGAATTTAGTCGATTTCTCAACTGTGCAGACGTCTCTCTATACAAAGATATAATCATTCTCGGTGACTTTAATTATCCCTCTATTCATTGGTTAGATGGTTCAGGCTTTTCGGACATAACAACCGACCGTGGTTTTACTGACATATTACAAGAAGCTGGACTATTTCAACTCGTAAACTCACCAACTTGTGGTCAAAATATTTTAGATTTACTGCTGACAACGAACGAGTATCTAATTGACAATATCACTGTGACAGATGACGATTCCACTTGTGTTAAGTCTGACCACAAAGCTATCACTTCAGACATCAATCTGATTAGAAAAGTGAGCAAACCACTTAATCGCATGGTCTATAACGACAAGAATGGTGATTTTGATTCCCTCCGTGCTACTCTGAGATGTCTTCTGTTGTTAGCTCTTGTGGAAAGTGAAGCTGATATTGACTCTGCATGGACTAAATGGAAAGACCTTTTCCTTTCCGCTGTTGACGCTCATATCCCCAAGACCAAAGTGAAAATTTCGTATAAGCCTCCCTACATTACGAAAGATATTATCCATGCCCTCAACATGAAAGAAACGATCAGGAAAAGAGCAAAGTCCACCAACTCTCCTTCCCTTTGGGATCGCTTTCGCGAGTTACGCCGTAAAATAAAAAGCATGATACGATCAAAGAAGCGTGAATACATTTCAACTTTGGCAAGCTCAGTTAAGAATAAACCGAAAGAATTCTGGAGATTCTTCAAGGCAAAAACTACTGGTTCTTCTCTACCAGACACCTTAACCCACAACGACGATCAGTTCACGACCTCAGAAAGTAAAGCTGATGCTTTCAACAAGTACTTTGCATCCACCTTTCATCCTTCTGTGCCTAGTCCATCTAGTGTTTGTTCTAGTATCTGTGATGAAGACACTCGTAAATCCATTTCGGTTTCAACGGAAGAAACTAGCTGTCTACTTTCAAATCTCTCTACAGATAAAGCAACCGGTCATGATGAGATATCTACCAGATTGTTGAAAGAGTGTTCGAACAATATTGCTCCATCCTTAACAACGCTGTTCAACAAATCACTCACTCTTGGTAAAGTTCCCCAGGAATGGAAGGAAGCTAATGTTGTCCCTGTTCCCAAGAAAGGTGATGTTCACGAGGTCAGTAACTATCGGCCGATTTCCCTGCTGTCACTAGTGTCGAAACTTCTCGAGCAAGTTGTGCATTTGCACGTGTCGGAATTTGTTGAATCATCACTGAGTAATCTGCAACATGGTTTCCGCAAAAGACGTTCGTGTGTCACCCAACTTCTTGGTGTTTTCCACGACGTTGGTAAAGCCCTAGACTCGGGAAAGGAAGCTGACATGGTTTACTTAGACTTCTCCAAAGCCTTTGATTCTGTTTCTCATCGAAACCTTCTTTTGAAACTTGAACAACATGGTATCTCCGGTTCATTGTTGAACTGGTTCTCCGACTATTTGAGCGAAAGACGTCAGCGAGTAGTGGTCGACGGTGTGTCATCCTCGTTTCTTAATGTAACATCAGGGGTACCACAAGGCAGCGTACTCGGCCCACTTTTGTTCTTGATTTACGCAAACGACCTCCCAAAGGCAGCGAATCATAGCACAGTGCCCATGTTTGCTGATGACAGCAAATGCTATCGTCAAATAACCCAACCTCGAGATAGAGATCTTCTTCAGGATGACCTAAATTCCCTACACCAATGGTCTAAGACGTGGGACTTAAATTTCAATGCGAAGAAGTGTGTTGCCCTCAGATTTTCACGAAAGAAAACCTCCGTTCCACCTCAAGACTACTTCCTAAACCAGCAACTTATAAAGTCTTCCTCCACACAGAGTGATTTGGGTATCCTGGTGAGCGACAATTTAAAATGGTCCCAACACATCATCAATATCGTTTCTAAAGCCAACAGAATGCTTGGTTTCTGCGCCGCAATTGTTTCCACCTCACTGACGTGGATGCTCGCCGCCTTCTGTATTTGTCTCTGGTCCGCTCTCACTTATCGTTCGGCTGCGAAGTCTGGGCTCCTCAAAGTGCGTCTGCTGATCTGCTTCATCTCGAAGGAATTCAACGCCGAGCAACAAAGTTTATTCTTCAGGACTATGATTTGTCATACGTTGGTCGCTTGAAAAAACTAAATCTAATCCCCCTTTCATACTGGCATGAAATTAAAGACATTATATTCCTCTACAAATGTAAATACGGGATGTACGAAATTGACATCAATCAGTATATAACCCAACCTCTTCACCACTCCACTCGTTCCAGTTCTGGTGATTTTCGTCCAAACCTGTGCAAAACCTCCCTCTTCCGAAACTCATACTTTAACAGAATTGTATTTTTATGGAACAATTTACCGTCTGATATCAAATCATCTTCGTCAGTCGCCATACTTAAATCTAAACTATATATATATTACACTAGAAAGCTGAATAGTACTTTTGATGTAGACCGTCCTAGAACATGGAAAACTGTATGCAGTAAATGTCGTTCTTTACATACAATCTGTTGTTCATAGATGTAATTATAATTGTTGTATGTCCTAATGTTTATGTATATAATATGTATTCTTGTAATACCTATAAGTAATTATGTAATGTACGTTTTTGGTGGGACTTAATTAGGGACTCACGTCCTGTTGTCCTTACCTTCGGTCATTTGATTGTAAAGTTAATAAAAAAAATAAAAAAATTAAAATATATCACAAATATTATTGGCTTGCTACCGCCACCTTTGCCACCATCGCCTCACTACCTCAACTGCTACTGCTGCATATATATTGTACTTGTACTATCCTGCAAATTTTATTTTTGTAGAGCAATATTATTAATATTAAAACAACCATTATATATCAGAAATATTATTGGCTTGCTACCACCGCCACCATCGCCACCACCACCTCACTACCTTAACTGCTACTGCTGCATATATATTGTACTTGTACTACCCTGCAAATTTTATTTTTGTAGAGCAATATTATTAATATTAAAACAACCATTATATATCACAAATATTATTGGCTTGCTACCACCGCCACCATCGCCACCACTGCCACCATCGCCTCACTATCTCAACTGCTACTGCTGCATATATATTGTACTTGTACTACCTGCAAATTTTATTTTTGTAGAGCAATATTATTAATAATTTTGAAACAAATGATAGCGATATTACATTTATTAAACGACGTTTCGATGCTACAGCGTGCATCATTTTCAAGTTATAGTATTACATATATTGCGTTGATTTTAATTAAACCGTTCGTGTCACGTTAGCAAATTATTGCGTAAGCATGCAAAATTTAAATTTATATGACGTAATAAATTACATAAATTACATTTAAAAGAAAACATAAAACAGATTAAACATATTTCTGTCTTTCATAAATATATAACATGCACACAAAAAACAACAACAAACAAACATACTAAACAAAACAAAACAAACATAAAGCCCATTAATTATAGGACTAAGTATAAAGTTTTGAACGAATTGAGTCCGATTGAGTGTTCAAGGACGGCGATAGTTCCTTAATATACAGCATTTCGTATAGAAGACACTCATACTTTCCTTGGCATTTTCGTAGAATTGAAAAGCAACCTTCAATTCTCGACGCATCCTCTTCGTGATCTTCCCTCATATGTTTCCAGATTACCGATCGCTTGTGCTCATCAATGCGCTGATGTAAGTGCCGACTAGTATAGCCAACATAATCTGCATCACACAGATCACATTTATATCTATACAC